GCATATGATGCTATATTTGAGGATCAGAGGAAGTGGTACGGGAGTTTGAGGAATATTCAGAGTCGACACCTTCAGATTATTTATCGGATTCAGAGTATTTATAATTATATATGTGTTTTTGTAATATATGTGCTTTAAAAAAATGGTGTTTGTAATATATTTTAATGTAATGACTTTGTAATATATTATGTATTTTTTTTTACTAAATTATGTAACTCAAAACAAATGAGTATTATGAAATGTGTATTAAAAATGAATTCTCCTAGGAAATTCGTTGGTATTTCTGAGTTTCGTAGGAATTCGGTTGGAAATTCCAACGGATTTCAGATTGATTGTACAAGCTGTTGGATTTCCGTAGGAAATTTTTCCGACGGGTTTTCTAGGATTTGTGGTTTAGAGTTAACAAAATTCTAAGAAAATATATACAAACACGTAAACAAACATGGTAAGTTACATATTGGTTCATAATCTATAGTTTAGTTGATTATTTTTTTTTAAATAAGACATTTCATTTTGTAAAATTTTAATTTTCCAAAACCACAAGTATAAGAAGTTCATTATCTATAATACAAGTTATACTATTCTTAGAAGAATTATTCCGGCTTCTAAATATATGTTTTGTATATGCCACATAAATACGATAGGTGTGTAATTATGTCAAGAGGCATATATCCGGCGATTATAAAGAGTACAACGTTTTTTTACACATCATTTTGAATCCTAAACCACAATCCATAGGTAATACGTCAGAAAGTTCCTATAGATTTCCGACGGATGTTACTTTGTCAAAAATGTATAGGCGAGAATTAAATAAATTAAAAACCGGGAAAATAATTGATTTCGGACGGATTTTCGACGGATATATTTCCAAGGGTTATATCCGTCCGAAATCCGTCGGAAAATCTTTAACCTAGATTCTCTTTCTTCTCCTCTTTCTCTCCGCAGAAAACCTCTCCTCTTCTCTTTGCGCCGTCGCTCATCCTTGTCACCACCGATGGCGTCTCCTCTTCTTCTCTTCTTTCAACCGTCTCCACCGCCGGTTCTTCCCTTCTCTCAACCGTCTCCACCGCCGGTTCTTCTCGCAACAGAATCCACCGCCGTTTCTTCTCTTCTCTCAACCGAGTCATCAAAAGCATGTATGTGTTCCCAATTATTTTTGGTAAATTTTGTTAGAGTTTCTGAAAATTTGATAGTTTTAGAAATTTTGGTGTGTCTATACTC